AGATGGATCGAAACAGGGGCAAAATTTGTATTGGCGTATGCATTGCAAACCATGTTTTCTCGAAAATGTCCATCTTTTTCAGAATCTTCTAGGGAAACAGACTATGTCTCATAGTTTTGAGCATGTGCGCTCGGCACCCACAGAAGCAGGGACACCGATAACAGCTCCGCAGCTCCGTCAAACCGGACGGCGTTGGTGCTGCAGCTTACACTAGGCGGCCGGCTCCGGGCGCGTGAAAAAGGCCAGGTGTCGTGAAACATTGCTTCTGACAGGCTTTCGAAACCATTTCGAATCGTTCAGGGTTAAACTTGAGCATATTGCTCACTCGCACGATAATGAGAATGTCATCTGCATGCCCTATCGCTTGCAGCAACACAAACAAAGGGACTACACCATTACGTGAAGAGTTCGTGGGGCCCTGTGATATGCTGTTAATACTAACTCCCTCCCTGTATCATATCTGCAAGTCACACAGATGTAATATGCAGCCCAGGCTACCTTTGCAGCACACAAGCTGATTTCATACAGCGTTCAAAGGTACATTTGGCCGTGCCTGGTCGTTACCGCGTGCCCGTTGAACGCCGTCCTATGTCGCCGGTGGGGCAACGCCACGAAGCATATGAAGACTGCCACACTGGGCGTCCGGTTTTGCTGCCAAAAACTCGCGATCTTGCATGTTTACAACTATGTTATATAACTTTGTTCACTCACCGATTCTGAAGATGCGATGAACATTCCCATACGAACGTGGTCCGTTCCACTAGCTCAGTTGAATAGAGCTCCTGCCCTCCGACCGGCCCACCCGTGGCGGGGTGGGTTCAAGTCGTTTTAGGCGCTCGCCATGTGTCCTTGACGGACATGACATGCGGCCGGTGGCAACCATCGCGCTGAAGGTCAGGCGACGGTCAACGGCAAAGGATAAACCGTTCCAAGCATTGCGACACGTTAAACTTTCACCATCAAGTTTTGTCGATGACCTGGAGTTTCACGATCGGATGGTGGGGTGAGGGCTCACACACCAAACACTGCTTGGCGCGAGGTACCACCCGAGAAATATTTGTATTCACAAGGTTCGGACTAAATCCTATGAAAATATGACTCGGTCATATCCGTACATTCTTTACCCCATTTTGGTCCACGATCTACATTGAATCCACAGCGTTCGCAAAGTCACGCTAGATCGCCAAAAAAAACAACAAAAAAACATCAAGTCAAACACCTGAGACCCCTGCTGTCCGTTTAGAAATGTCGCTTAGGATTCATGCATGTGGATAGTGTTACATCAAAATCCGTTACTAATTCACAGGTGTGGATAGTGTTTCATCAACGTAACATTCGGTGGCGATGAATTTAAATCGATAGAACCGTCGCAAAAAAGGAAGAATGTATTTGTCTCAACGATATCTCGTGATTCGAAACACTTCATGTTTCTTGATTAAAGATTAACCTGCTAGATCAGGCCAAAGACCAATGCTTTCTGAAAGTCGGACTATTTCGGTTTTTGCGTGCCCATATTTGTGAAACCAGGTCACAAAGCAACATGAAGGCTATACAAATTTTCCTTGTTTAATTGCGAGTAAAATGATGTATAGTTTAAGTGTTTTTCATACTTTTATGCAGGACTTCGTTAAGGTAACGATGTCGGCCAGCGCGCGATTGGCGGATTCGTCGGTTGCCGCCCGCCGCCAGCATCAGGCGGGGACCGCCGTGTAATGGTCCTAGAAAACGTTGGTTTTCAGGAATCAGAAATGCTAGACACACTTTTTAGTGTAAAATCCGCACAATTAATGCCTTAGGGGCCCCTCAAAATTGGCGTTGCTGCACGAATGCCGGAGAGGTATCAACAGTAGAACCTAAGGGAATTGCATCGACCCCTCCCCTATAACGGGGTGAGAGTCAAGATGTGACAACAAGTTTGATTGGTTGGAGTCAGATACTCAACTAACCAGTGATTATACGAGCACAATTCATGTTTGTTTTATGTTTGAAAGAAATGGAACTGACATATCATGAAGTCTGCCATAGTATGAGACGTGGTCGTCCGCGACTACGTGTCAGCGCCAGCAATGACCATCGATCCGGTCCAAACCGTTGTTGCTTTGTGGCTTGTGAGTCGGAGCACCTCATTAAGGAAACCTGTGCGTCATGGACAACACAAACTGAACGCACCTTCTGAGCTACGGCAACAGACGGGTCGATGCTAGGCTCAGATCAATGCTAGGCATATCAGGTAAAGGCCAACGCGCCATCACGTTTTTCCGAGCAGGGATGAACGCCTGAAATGCTGAACGTTCAAGGGAGGGCGGGCATATCGACCAATCTAAATGTGAGATTGGCAGTGTAGTGTGGTATTACGAAAATACTTTGTCTGGAAGCTATTATTTCTACTCCATGCACTTAAAGAGCATGTTTCATATTTGAAGATATTGAAGCAAGCATGAAATATGATGAAACCAGCTCAACCATACCTATCAGTATACTTTGTTAGTGGAAGACTGTCCTAGGCAGTACAATTCTTTGTTTAGTAAATATGCTCCTCCACGCGTCATGGTTTGATGATGTCATCGTACCTTGCACACCTTGGTTGAGAGCCAGTTGACGGCCATTATATCTGAAGATCGTTCTCACAAACGCCAGATATAAGCGCCCCGACAATAATGTTTTTATTGGCCTTGATCGCCGCATGGTTTATGGAACGACAGGATTTGAATGGCGTTATTATGTCGTCATAAATGCCAAGGCAACTTTGAACTACTATGCCAGAAATACCCTCACTTTTCGCGGGCGCGTATCTCAGAAACCAGAGGGACTTATGTTTTAAGAAGGGCAGGTTTGTGAATAGCACCAAAAGGTCTCCAAGGTAATCATTTCAGTTCAAAATCCCATATTTTTTTGCCGTCAGTCGCTGTTGCTTATTCTCCTCGACTACCCCCGGCCCTTCCCTCCGTTCCTGCACCCATCTGTATACTGAACTTGTAGCTGTACTGTTTTGTTTTTCATAAGTCAGCATGATAATAATCTGTCAGGTCTAAGCGTTTCACAGCGAGGTTGTCCGCAAGAAAACATGCTGCATCAGCCATGGATACGAGCGCTGTACATTCGCAGGATCGTTAATACGTGGATCTCCATATCCTTATTGCTTCCAGCATGAGACCTGTGGGTGCCGTGCAGGACGCAACATTGACATAAAAGTCAGATGCGTCCTCCATCCTGCTTAAACAGTTTTGGGTAAATCTCACCAACGCATCTCGTGATTGTCGCGCCGTTTGCTGGCATGAATGACGTTAGTAAAAGTAAACATTTGTGATTGGCACAGTCAGCGGCGTAAGCCATTTGGCGAGAAGTGTCTCGGTGGAAGTTTGAACATTTGCGTCATTCTACCACGCGACATGTTGCTGGTCTACACTACCTGCCTTGTAAACTGGCCTCACAGCAAACTGTATGACATTTCCATTGAATTCGGGTAAGAATTGTGTAATATTTGTTTCCCCTTTACGAAACTAGTGTTTCAGCCTGTCACACCAATTATTTCATAAGCATCTCGACCAATCAGTGTATCACGAACATTACATGCTGCAGACGTTGGGAAGAGAAATGCAAACGGAAGGCATCACTTTCACAGCATCCGGTAAGGAGTCCGACGACATGGTTCCCTCAAAGCGGTTACTTCAAACTGAAATTTTAAACTATTCAAAAGCATTTCGAGAAAGCTGGTAGTTCCCAGCAAATCGGATGCGTTTGATGCCACTCTGCGTGAAAGAGTACAGAAGGGTGTCATGCTTCCTTTACCACTCGACACGTCGTGCTCGCCCCCAAATCACGCAAAATGTCCGCAACCCTGGCCGAAGCGAGGACGCAGCGGACAGGAAGATCCTAGGTTGGGAGAGCTACCAGATGCGCTCGGGGCGCACGGCGTCAGTGGTGCCCTGCTCCAGGCTCACAAGGGCGGCATGCGGCGCGTACTTCTGCTCGACGCCCTAGTTGAAGTAGACGTTGATGCGCTCGATCGAGAGGTCCGAGTGGCCCTCATACTTGCCCACGCTGCTTAGACCGTGCTCGTTCGAGATAGCCTCCCAGAGCAGCGACCGGCTAGGGGTGAATTTTCAGTGGAACTTCGACGACATGAGGTTGAATCACTTTTATTTTTTGTTGAGGCGGTGGACAGGGTTCTGTTATATTGTCCCTCCTGATGGCTCAGTTGGTTAGAGCGCCTGCCTCCCGATCCACCCACCCGTGACGGGGTGGGTTCGGGTCGCTTCAGGCGCTCGCTATGTCCTTGACAGGCATGGCCTGCGGCTGGTGGCAGCAGTCGGGCTTAAGGTCATTTGATGGCAGAGGGCAGGATAAACCATGCTGAGCATTAAGACACGTTCAACTTTCGCTGCCAAATTATGACGTTGACCTTAAATTGCGCGATCGGGTGGCAGGAAGCAGAGCTCACACAACAAGCAGCGTTTGGCGTGAGCTCTGATCTCAGAAATTGATGGATTCAGGACGTTCGAATTCAATCTTTCAAACAAAAAGCATGTGCTTATATTGGTGCCATCTGACTTTCCTGTTTGTTTCGCTTAAACTTTCGTTGCGAAAGAGTGAGCTGATCGCCCTGTTGGCGAACACACGTGATCAATAATGAATATCCACTTACGCAATAAGGAACGATTTTTAGACAAGTGTGCTGGGTAATCTGTGCGTGCTGTGATTGTTATCATTACGAAGCATCGTACACCAGTAATATCCGCCTTTCCACTTTCAAAGTTGCTTCTTCGTCTTGAGAGGAGTGATGGCTTTGGCTGGCGCTTCCACCAGACAGAAGTCTTTTCAGGCTAACACATTTCATAAGTTAATAAAATTACTCTATGAAAGGCACTGATTTGTTAACATAACTGCGGTGTTTGTGGCAGTGCGCGTTAGATGCTGCAAAGAAGGCTGGAATATTGGCGTTTCGTAGCGGGTCATTCTTCATATTTTTCGTTCCCGTGAAATAGTTTGGAAAGACGTTATTCCGAAAATCCTTCGTATATATTTCTTGTTTTGATGACGCGTTTTGCCAAGATCTTGAAATGAATAAGATGTCTTTCAGGACATGCAGTGATGAGATGGATTGGTAACAATCATATGTATTGCATCGTTCCAAGACGTTTATTGTTTTGGACAACATACTACCTTCATAATGCGTTCAGTGCTAACAAGTGAATGTGAATGTAAGAATCACCAAATGTGAGCAAATGACTCGATTGCTAGCTAAACGTGTCAATGCAAGCCCATGGCATTCAACCCCAACGGCTGCTGTTCATGAACAAAAGCAGCAGTCGCATGTACGTACATGAGAACATCGCTGCTTTAAATTCAAAAGTGGGGATCGCTCAAGTAACGTATCAGCTCAAGACATTAATTCAATAGTAGATTTGTTAAAACCTCCAACAATGCATGTCTCTCTTACAAGTTTGCAGACATTGTTGCCTTCTCACAGTGTTAAACTGCACATGGGCGACAATAAACCGTGCTACTTAATGGCGTAATGTGTACGATTATAAGCCTTATCAGCATCAGCGATGGAAGTGAGCAGACTAGTGGAGCGCCGAGGCATTTAGCATTTAAACCCCACAGACCCACATGCCCATAGGAGTGAATCGCTATTCGTCGTCCTGATAGTCATCCTGGTAGTCACCATCGTTACCATCACCGTCGTCAACGTCATCATCATATTCTCCATCATCGTCTACTGTGGCTTCTTGGTACTGCTGATATTCCGAAATCAGGTCGTTCATGTTGCTCTCCGCCTCGGTGAACTCCAGCTCGTCCATGCCCTCCCCGGTGTACCAGTGGAGGAAAGCCTTGCGCCGGAACATGGCCGTGAACTGCTCCGAGATCCGCTTGAACAGGTCCTGGATCGCAGTTGTATTCCCGATGAAGGTGGCAGACATCTTCAGACCACGGGGCGGAATGTCGCACACGGCAGTCTTGACGTTGTGCGGGATCCACTCGACGAAGTAGCTGCTGTTTTTCTTCTGGATGTTCAGCATCTGTTCGTCGACCTCTTTCATGGACATGCGACCCCTGAAGATGGCGGCGGCGGTGAGGTAGCGTCCGTGGCGCGGGTCGCAGGCGGCCATCATGTTCCTGCCGTCGAACATTTGTTGACTCAGCTCTGGCACTGTGAGTGCTCGGTAAGCCTCACTAGGCCGCGCCACCAGCGGCACAAAGCCCGGCACGAAGAAATGCAGTCGAGGAAAAGGCACCATGTTGACGGCCAACTTCCTAAGGTCGGCGTTCAGTTGACCGGGGAACCTGAGGCAGGTAGTTACACCGGACATGCAGAGGCAAATGAGGTGGTTGAGGTCGCCATAGGTGGGGTTCTGCAGCTTCAACTGTTTGCTGCAGATGTCGTACAACGCCTCGTTGTCGATACAGAACGTCTCATCCGTGTTCTCCACCAGCTGGTGCGTTGAGAGAGTGGCGTTGTAAGGCTCCACCACGGTGTCGGACACCTTTGGTGATGGCGTCACCGAGAAGGTCATCATGATCCTGTCGGGGTACTCTTCGCGCACTTTGGAGATGAGGAGGGTGCCCATGCCGGAGCCGGTGCCGCCGCCTAGGCTGTGCGCCATCTGGAAGCCCTGCAGGCAGTCGCAGTTCTCAGCCTCACGACGTACGACATCGAGAACGCTGTCCACTAGCTCGGCGCCCTCTGTGTAGTGGCCTTTGGCCCAGTTGTTGCCGGCTCCCGACTGGCCTGAGGAAGACAGAGCAAGCCTTAACGATGTCGTCATCACTCAGCCAACAGTAGCAGAGGGCTAAGTCAGTGCACATTTGCTGTCGAGAGACGTTTTCATCCGGTATCATATCTGCATTCTTCTTTCTGTTATGCACGACGAACATCAAATATAAATAAGTGCATGAATACGACCAGAAGGAGATTGTCTGACCTTTTGCCAACTTTGCTACGGCTATCCCAATACTCACTCTAAGGGAAAAAGGCCGATTAGGGCACATTCAAAGCATCGATCAGCGGTGAACCCTCCGCTATCCTAGATACATCCTGCTTGCCTCGTCCTCCCTAGCAGCAGGGCATGGCCAAGCAGTGTCGAGCTCAACTCATTAGCAAAGCCTGTATTGGATAAGGTTCAATGGAACTATGTGTTCCCCGCATCGCTAAGTCGGACCACACTAGCTAGTCGGCGTATGTCTCTTGGACAGCACCATGTCACAAGGCGAGGGTGTGGATTTATTGGCTGATTTGGTAAATGACAATCGGAATCTGAAGTAAAAACACCATTTCAGCAGCAGGGCTGCAGAGGAGAGCCTTTAAAATGGTGTCGGGCAGACACCACGTGGAATGGACAGAAAGTGTCTCGCTTGGCCCTGTTGAGGATGCCAGGCACTTGTTTTGCTGAAGTGCCATTCTTAAATTCTATGACCTCTCGGCTCGGCTCTCACAGATGCGGAAAAGTACGATCCTGTTGCCTTGGGAATCACGTTTAAACATTCGGGTTACTAATT